AATAAATAAATAAAACAAAGTCTGAAATCATACACAGATGCGCAAGCACATATCATGACGTTATCTCTAAAACCGCAAGATTTTCAGGATTTTTAAGGACATCAAACGTGGCCAAACTAAGAGCCAATTGTATTATTTTTATTCCTTTTCCTCGTTACGTTTTTATGTTTTATGTCCTGTATCTAAAGTTAATCATAAACATTTTCATCCGATGTGACATGGTGGTATGTAACAGTAAGATATTTCCTGGGCATCTGTTAAAACTGGCACTGAAATCTTTCTACTCTATGAAATCATTTAATTGATCCAAGTAAACAGCTGTTTCTGGGGTATGGGAAAATAATACCAGCAACTGACTGAATCATAAAGGTCAAAAGGTGCGCCCTGCCGTGTGACCAGAAGAACCGTCACACCCGTTCGGATGTGGCATGTCTGAGAAAGCGACGCTCAGTAAGCAGGAGATGGATTCCCTGCCATTTCCAATCCCCAGCACGACGACAGGAGGCTCCACATCTCTCCCCCCTCCCTCCTCGACGATGCCACAGTACAGGCAAACAGGCCTGGGCCACCCAGGCGTAGGGAGCAGTCACAGGGAGGACACTCCAGGGGAACTCTGTCAGAGAGACTCTCATCTTTCAACACTCCTGGTTGTCAGGAACGCGGGAAACGCCGGGAACGCCGGGAACGCCAGCAACAGCAGAGGCCGGTCATGAACTCTGCACGGTGCAGAAGCGGAGGTCAGTGAACACGCAAACACGGGAGGGACACAGAAGGGAAGGGCGACAGTGGCTCTCGCGAGACATCTTGTGCCCCGGCTCCTGTCCTGTATCATCCTTCACTGGGAAAGAAACATCAGTAAGCAAAGGAAGAAAACGCCACTCGCTTCTGAGCTCATGAATTCTGGTCTTAAAGCAGAAGAAATGACCCTTAACCCGGCTCACTAGAAGTTCACTGTCGTGGGCTGTGAGGCCCTTAGGGGCAGGTGGGGACACACGGGGAGGTACCTGGCAGAGCTCTAACCTGCAACGCCCCGCAGCTCTGAAGGAAGGAAAGAGTACAGAGAGGTTATTTAGAAAGCAAACGGTTCTACTTATTCACTCGCTTGACAAATATCTGGGAAGAGCCCCTTGTGCTATTTCAAATATTTACCTCCCATGATTCTTCCCATTTGTAAGGCACCACTTTACCCTAAAACCAGCTCTGCTGAGCCTAGAGTTACCACCTGCGACTGGATCACAGAACACGACAACGATGGCAGAGGGACTCTGCAAGAGAAAGCCATCGACGTATTAAGAGCGATGCTGGCAATGCTATGAACAGCTGCCCTTCAGTGAAGAAGAATAAATGCTGAAAACCATGACGCCCTTTATTTTCAACCAGGGGCCTCGGCAGGAGGCAGAGGCAAGTGTAAAGTGACGTGACGGTGACGTCGCAGCACGGCCGTACCTTCTAGGAGATGCTCCTGGTGGGCGTCCTTGGCCTTCGTTTGCTGAATCTCCAGCTGCTCTATCAGCAACTTGTTCTCCTCTAAAACCAGCTCTGCCTGAGTCTGAAGCCGACGCCTGCGATCAATTGGCAGCGTTAACACCGTGATTCAGGCACAGTATTATTATTATTATCATCATTCAGGATTACAGAAACGCCCCCAAACCCAAAACAAAGCAATTGGCGCATCACAGGTAACGATATGAACATCAACACGTATTTTAACGTTAAACATTATTAACACGGCCGGCAAATCCTGCCATCTGCATAAAATGAGGAAAAGGACAGCAACGAAGTTTGCATTATGGACTGCTTCAGTAACTTGGTAAAATGTCAAGTTTCAAACATATGCAACAGTAGAGGGAACAGAATAATAAACTCCCATGTACACAATACTCAGCTTAAACAATCGTCAGATGGCCAGTCCTGTTTCATCTGTATAAATCTCCCATCTCCCCGCCCACTGGATTATTCTGTAGCTCACACGGAATACTTTTGAAGAATTTAGAAAGTCCCCATTCTAATTAAAAAATATTCATCATCAGTAGCATATTTGCCAAAAAACAATTACTTTGTCGGAAGGCTT